GGATAGAATGACTAGGATTCTGGAGAATGGGTTCAAATCTCCACTTGGCTATGGAAACTAGAGGAGTCGAACTGGCAAAACTACTCCTTAAATATCTCACTTACCTTGAAAGCCCTATTAGGGTCACTATAAGTGGTTCTGACTTGACAACACAAAACACACACATACGTATCTGTTTCTGGATGTACTAGGATGCAATAGATCATCCCAGTACAATGTCCATACACATCAATAATTGCTTCCTGATGTCTCACTCCCAACACAGATTATCTTCCACTTCTGTTTGAGTTTTTTATCCTGTCCCTGCCTGCTTTGTTTCACTCTGTGCTCCCTTCCCAATCCATGGGACATGGAAGTCAGATGTTAACCACAGAAACCAACAAGGGAATATCATACACATCCACAATACATGCAGATTTGCACAGAACAACAGAATATTAGAGAACACTCAAGTAGATCTTGCAATGGAGCAAACTGGAGCAAAGGAAAATGAAAATTTATCACCAACCAGAAAGCAATTTTTTTCTGTCCTGCTTTAATTGCATGAACAGTAATTTCTTGCCCTCTGTTGTATGGATATCATAATGCAGTAGCAGCATCATGCGTACAAGGAAAATGAAACAAATCATCAGCGAGGATCGGCCCTAAGGCAAGCTTTCGTGTTCTCCAGACCTCTTTGTCTGGCAAAGATAGGATAAAGGTTGCATTCAACTGAAAGTCCAGGAACAGAGCCAGATGCGATGCCAGTAGTCCATACAGTTAGATTTCCAGAAAGGCAAAATGGAATTTTAGGTTCTGCATATAAGGCAGAGGTGACACAGGTATCGTTTTGTAGGTTGAAACACCACTGAAAATAAAAGAGGCAGGTTAGTATCCAGCAAGTTACCCTAATAACTGGGACATACCTAGTCAAATGCAGGGATGCTGGCAAGTCTTTGGGTCTGAGTCCCAAGTCTCAAGTCTGAGTCTTTGATCTCAAGTCTGAGTCCAAGTCTTTGGTACCGAGTAGCAAGTCCCAGCCACCAAGTCCTAGTCCCTATTAAAAATAAGCTTTTATTCCCAGAAAAAAAGGAAGTGGTGGGTGTGTTCTGAGTCATGAGTCAAGTCCAAGTCACTGGGTGTGTGTGTGGAAACAGGGTCTCGTCACCAGTGCGGCCTAAGTCCAACTTGACAGTGAGTCTGTGCAACTTGAGTCCTCATCTCTGGTCAAATGTGTTACACCTACTTCCCCTGTGGCAAATCACAGAGTCATTTTACAAGCCCTCTGAATTTGAAAAGTGGTTTATTTTGCCGTTTGGAAATCTGCTTAATAACACAGTTCTTTGGCCCAATGTTAATCTTCTTCTATTTTGAAAACTTTTAAGCATAAGAATAACTGAACACATACAGCCCATTCTTTTTCTCCATGACCTTGGACAACGGACTGTTGAATAAAATTACTACTTAGAAAGAAGTACACGGAGTTTGTAAACTGAATTTGGATTGCCCTTTCATGTACTAAACTTCACTGCCAAAACCTGCATAATTCAGGTTGTAACAGTACAATGAGAGAAACCCATATGTTTGTAAAGTAGTATTCAAAGTATTCACTGCTGAAAAAAAAAATCTGTGAAATCCTGCATGTTTTGTTTTGACATGCATTGTTGCTTGTATGTAGGAGCATTTTTATAAGAGCTCCAGACAGATGGAGTCTAATTTTCTATAAAAATGAGTGAAGAACCAGCGACAAACCAGCTATGCCAGTAAATGTGCCATTACCAATAGTACTGTTCTGGATGACAACTGGCCAACAGAGAGTATTTTGCTTGCAAACCTGGCTGTAACCTTTTGAAAAGGAATGACAATGTGGATGATTCTCTTCCACAGGGGCTCCATACACTTTTTAATCTGTGGGTTGTTGTTGTGTGTTTTTTTAAGAAAGTAGTCCATTTTGATTTTCCACTGCAAGTCAGTCGGAGTCCCAGCCTGTACTGGACCAAGGCAGGATGCGAATTGTTGCATCAGGCTCCAAACTGAATAGAAGAGAAAGGGCTTGCACTGCCCCAGGCTATAATATCCTGTTACCTCAATATGAAGTGGAAGGGAAACCATTTAAAACTGGCTCCTCAGGCTCTGGTAGGTTCCCTGTTGTTGTGACCAATGGCATGGCTAATCTTGCAACCAGTGTAAGACCAGCATGTGATGAGGAGACTCCACATTAAACGAGAACTGCCAACAATCCTGAGCAGCCTTGCTATTAAATGGAAATTTCGTGCAAATCATCACTAACAGGTTCAGAGAGGTGAGATTTGTCAGGCCCATCAGAGGGAGAAACAGAGATTAAACTTCTCACCTTCACAGTTCAGAGGCCATTCAGGCTTTCCTGTGGCAGCTATTTAGATAACAAGAAAAGTGCACATGAATTGCCTTCACGTTTCATGTCTAGCTGGATCATTATGTGATGGACTTGAGAAGAAAGATCAGCAGAGAATGATGATGCAGAAACAAGTCACATCATGGTAAATTTGGCCCGGCAATTTGACTGACACATATCATCCTATGATAGATCACAGGACTCTAGAAAGAGGATAGTTATTGATTAAGATTGCCATTTTCCTATAAATCCCATTTCTTTCATTTTCGCTATTCCGCATGTTGTATTTCCCCTATAATAATTTCCCTTAGTCCTTCAGCTGATCTTGCAGATGTTTTTAATTTACATCCTATGACACAGGACTCTAGAAAGAGGATAGTTATTGATTAAGATTGCCATTTTCCTATAAATCCCATTTCTTTCATTTTCGCTATTCCGCATGTTGTATTTCCCCTATAATAATTTCCCTTAGTCCTTCAGCTGATCTTGCAGATGTTTTTAATTTAAAAGGAATGTGGGATAATAAGCTGCTGGAACTATCTCCCCTTTCCAATGATTTTTTTCATCTAAAAATGTAGTTACAGAATTAATGCAGGACATGTTGTAGATTCCTCAATGTGTTCCATAGAGATATTGATCAACAAACCAAGGAAGAGACATTTTGACATTTTTGACAAGTGACAAGATCAAGTCACTATACTTAAAGGTGAACTACAAAGACATTTTAAAAATCCACATCCTTAAAAATAAAATCTATATTTTGTGTGCTGCACTGAAATTTCCAAAACCAGCCTTGGCTTGCTTTTATGTGGTTTTAATAACATTGTAGGTTTCTAACAATTGCAAAAGCATGGTCATTGTTTAATTACAGTTAGATGACAGGCATAGGCAAAAGGCAAGGATAATGGAAGTTGTAGTGCCAAAAATCAGAAGGACTACACTTTCCTTGTTTGTAACTATTAGGGACTCTCCATTTTGAAGGCCTACAAATCTCCTCTACAGTAATTACTTATTTTTCTGTGTATAAGAGACTACTTTTTCCTAAAATCATTACAATAAAAATTGAGGGGCATCTTTTACACAGAAGTAAGCTGAGGAGAGAACAAAACAGCCCATACCTTGCCTCTGTAAACAGGCTTCCTTCAGTCACGAGGCTTAGCTTCCTACAGTCAGGAGACTTAGCTTCCCCCCATCATAAGCCTTATGGAATTGATGTAAGCTGATCCTGAACAAACCAATTGGAACACACCTCGTTGGAGGTGAAGCCTGTAGGCTCAGATTCAACAGAGACTCAAAATGTCCAATGTTCTGAGCCCAGAGGCTGAATTCTCAAAGCTAAGTGTTCTTAATTTTGGTGTTAGAAATGGGGGGGGGGGGTTTCTTATAAACAGGGGTGTGTTCTAAATGGAAAAAATATGGTATTCAGCCAGTCAAATGGTGGTCCTGTCAAATTACATGGATGTTCATACTTAGCACCCTGAAATATATGTGTGTATATCTGTGTCTCTGTAAGTGTGCCTGTGTGCTGTCTGAATTTAATGCCAGTGCTAAAACCCTATTGAAAAGAGTTTCTATCAATTGAAGCATAAAAGTTGCTTCAAGTTCAGAGATTCCTCAGAGGCAATTTCACCATTTTGTGGCTTCCAACAATTGCCTCTCTTTGCTTTCTTTGTTTTTTTTAAACAATTCAGACTTTGCAAACATAATTTTTAAAATCATACTACATGTAATTTTAAAGTTATAGGCTGGAAACCCAACTCACAGAACTAAAGTGATATATGTAGGGAATATTGTTACAGTTAATTTGATCACAGGCTTCTTCTTGCCCACCAATGGTCATGTTCTCAGTTAGTATTCGCTAATCTGTCTGTGAGAGATAATCATCTGCAGCTACATGAGCGTTATTTGATTATTTAAGTGAATGACGGGGAACATCTGCTAACCTAGGTCTCTCACCATTGCCCAACAGCTTCTTCTGTGTCACAAAAACTTTCTGGGAAATATAAATAAACAGTGGGATGAAGAATATGGGTTGGTGTGAATGGCACCTGGCACCATACGTGCAAAGCAATGGGGGTCCCAACCCCTTTGAGATATAGTTCAGAATAAAGATTCCTGTTCATGTGGAGGCTCTCCAAACAAAAAAACAAAAAAAAACAAAAGCTAGAAAATCAGGTTTCATTCCTGCATGAAAAGCGTTGACACAAACAAGCTTATCTTCTTCAGACTCATTGTTTTCCATGTCAAGAAAGAAACCAAAGCCAGAGAAGGCAAGACGAAGTGCTTCCTCTTCATTTGTTGAATCCAACCAGGTAAACAGCATCACTAGAAAGTCCATCAGACCAGATGCAGGATAAAAAGATTACAGAACTGATCTCAGTCGGTTGTGCATCACAGTCTGTTGTGCATCAGTGCTGTGCAAAATCCTCATGTTTTTTTTTAAGGGACAGAAAGGCAACGGGTGTACCTGTGATGAATCCTAGAAATACAACTATTTTCATTCATTTTACAGTGATTTTTTCAGCAACTTAAAAAATGAATACTTTTTTTCAAAAATGATACTACTGTACATAAAACTAAATAAATCAATGTTACACAGTACAAAGTACTTATGTAATAAATTAATTAATGCTGTATTTTCTTTCAGCTCTCTGTCCTGAGACGCAACAACAGGATGTGCCTTGGAAACGAGTAAGTAACTTACTAAGAGCACAGCTACATTATGAAAATAAATTGGGAGATGGATTAGGGCTTTTTGAATGAGGCTAAAGTCATATGGTATTCACATGGTATTTTGGTGGATGTGTGAGTTTTCTTGGGAAAATTGACAAGACATTAACACAAAAGGCAACACTTCAAAAGGACTGAAATTTAACTTATTTTCATTGTGGGGGGGAGAGGGGGAGGGAGGGAAACAGCCTACACTGGGAAGGTCAGTTAGTGTTGGCTTGCTTGAAATTAATATTGTTTGGTTAGGTCTGCTTTTACAACTAATTGCAAAGTTGTTTTACGGCTGGAGGAGAAAAGTTTTCTATCTCCTGTCTCGAATACCAATACCCCACATTTCACTACTGGAGTCACTACTTCCCAACATCAAAAAATGCAAGCAGAAGAGATTCTTGTTAGCAAAGGACTGGTGCAGAGATTGCCTTCCAGCTTTTGAAAGGAAATGGCCTTAACTTAACATACTTATTTACATGACAGACCTTCTCCCAAATAAAGGATGGAGGGGGAGAACATGCAATGTGAGGGAGGGGAAAGACCTCTGAGAAGTTGGAGATCAGCAGCTTGTCCTCAGGCAGAGAGCTAGTGAGAGGGTGGAGGACTTAGGGGAGTTGTTCTCAGATGTACAATTTTAACCCTACCCTAGAGGCTGATCCAGCAAGGAGACAAAAGGTTGCAAGGTTGTTTGGAACAAAGGATCAGGGCTTCCCTCCTGGCATCACTGGGGAATTGAGAGAAAACACACATAAACAGGCAGACAGCACTGACAAGAAAGAAGGCAAGGGAAATTGATGAGACACTGACACAACCCCCCCCCCCACACACACACACATACAGAGGGAGTACAGAAGGAGAGAGAGAAGGGAAAGCAAATTACTGAGTGGTAACACACACACACCCAGTTTGTACCAACAAAGGCATTCACACATGCCAAAGCAATTTGAAATACAATGACTTTACAGCTGAGTTAAAATAAGCCTGACAGAAGAATATTTTACCTCATTTGCAATCAAAGTACATGATTCCCTGTCAAAACAATCTGCACTTCCATGTGCATCACGTAGTCGCCTTTTTAAACAATAGTTTTAAAACATGCTAAAGCCAATTCAAGTATGAATCTGAAAATCTGACAGTCTTTTTTTTTAAAAAAATAGAATTTTAAATGAAAAAACAGACAAGAGAAAAGAACACACATTATGTAATAAGACCACTAAAGAAATAAACTCACTGATTACCATATTTTATTAATGATGGGTGTGTTCTGGGGACAACTAAACTAGTGGAGTAAATTTCATAACCTCCCACAGGAAGCTCTCTTTTCTCCTTGCTGTATTCTGTGTGAGGTCCCCCCCTCTCTTGAGTTATCTAATGGAGTATCTAATAAGGTTTCTTGCATATTTCATGGTTATTTTTCCCAGAAGAAACACAGTTTCTGTTTGTGTGTGTACTGTATCTTGCAAAGGGCATTGAGCTGTGCAGAATGGTGTGTGTGTGTATGTGTGTGTGTGTGTGTGTAAGGGGGAAATGGAGGTCTTATTTTCACAGAAAGATAGAAAATCTCATTAGTGGAGGTGGAAGTCTTTATCAGGAGACTTGACATGTCAAGTTTCGGAAACATGTCAAGAACAAGAATAATTTTTTTAGTACTGTTCAAATCTATAGGTAAAATGTGTCTACAGAAAAATTGGATATGTAAGCATGAAGTGAAGTGTATGTATTATATAAGACATGTATATTTATACCTATCTACTTTGCCCAAGAAGCATACCAAAGAGGTGGCTCTACTGGATCTGCAATTACCATGCTTTCCCAAAAATAAGAGAGGGTCTTATATTAATTTTTGCTCCAAAAATGCATTAGGGCTCATTTTCAGGGGATGTATTATTTTTTTCATGTACAATCCTCTACATTTATTCAAATACAGTGGTGCCTCGCATAACGATTTTAATTGGTTAAAAAAAACATTATGTGAAACATCGTTATGCGAAACATAAGAATGCATTGGAAACTGGTTAATAGGCACGGATTGCTGTCCTTAAGCGAAAAAACCCATAGGAAACATCGTTAAACGATACAGTGTTTCCTCCATTGGAATGTATTGAAGCTGACTCAATACATTTCAATGGCTTTGCGAAGTCAATTTTTGCAAAATTAAGTGTGTCATAAAAGGGTCAAAAATGGTTTTAAATACTTGGATTAGCTTCTTCACCCTCTAAAACGGATGCAAAAGTTAATTTGGCTTTGATCTGACTTTTCATTAATTTATGGTGAATTTTTCCCCCCAACTTTTGACAGCTGTCAAAATCTGACAGCTCCAT